GTGGTCGCATTTTCTTTCTTCTTAAAACAATTGCTTGATTTATGTCCCATTTTCTGACAATTGTAACATCGAATCTGTTTTTTGAATTTAGACTCCTTTTGTTCCGGTTCGCTCTTATTGTTGCTCTCCTTTCTCGGCTGGTAACCTTTCTTTTTTCTTCCTCTCCAGACCATCATTGCGTCAGTGGTATTGTGAGTTTTCTGCATGCGAGCTTCACTTTCCTCTATTATTTTTACCTTTAAAGTCTCGGCACTCGATAATTTATCGTGTGACTCAATCGCGCATCGAAAATTTTCATAACTAGCGGGGAGACTGTACAGCAGCATGATATTTAATAAGTCTTCGTTGATTTGGACATCCATGACACTCAATTTGTCTACGGCGTCGAAAAACTTTCAGATGCTCTCGTATGTCCTGACCTTCCTGTAATCGTTGCAATGTCAATTGCTTTAATAGAGCCGCTTTTCGTGCCGGACCTTTAGAGGCGTAAATATTCTGTAACTTTAATCAAATCTCACGAGACGTCATGCATCCACGTATATGTTGTAATTCATTCGGATTAATTGATAAAATTAAGTCAGACTTAGCCATCTTGTCCTTGCGCTGCCACGTCTCCGTCGCTCTCACAGACTGTTCATTATCGGCTATAATTGACGGTTGCGCCTCCTCTCCGTTGACGTATTTCCATGTGTCATTTTTTGTCATCAACGCTTCCACCTGCATGCTCCAGGAATCATAATTGTCCTTGGTAAGTGCTTCAATACGCACTTGATTTGCCATGCTGCTCCCTTTTTGCGCGGGAGAAGGAAAAGAATGGAAGAGTCTAACCTCGCTATCAATTTTAACGCTTACTCGTACACAAAATCACGTACACTCTTTACGCGTGTACTAGGCCCATAAACTGTTGGGTATAAAATAACGAAGCAAGTCGTTTCTCGAGGTTTAAGCGCTTTAATCATAACACAAGAGATGTGAATTATACATAGCCGTATCTCAATACAAAAAAGGCGGGCGAGAGATCGCGAGCTTGAAGAACTGAAAATTATCAGTATAGACAGATGGCAAACTTAGCCATAGATTTCGTGACTCAAAGGAATATGGCGCCGGTCGGCTAAATAGTACAATGGTGATGTGCGCGGATTGAACAAATAAATGATTTAAATCCAACAACATTGAACAGTGCAATTAGCTGCTGCACGATCAAAATGAAAAATGAACGATATTTTACGAAGATAATTTCTTTAATCATACTTTGATTTTAATTTTCCGACGTACATTTTTGTATATATTATCAAAAACACTTGACTGGTTTCGGAAATTTAACAAGGTATTATTACTATATTACTGTTATTACTATTATCAATACTATCATTATTATTATTATAACATTATTATTGTAAAAAGCTCTTATTATAGTAGCTAGTGATAATGATGCGTACTGGACTGTATTCATTGAACGGTATCTTGTGCTCCCAACGCGGTACGAATATGTATGGAGCGCGTAAAAAGAGAGGTTTTCGTTCTGAAAAATGGTTTATCGGAACGTGATTTAAATACACATCGTTGTTTTCAGCGTAAAATTCTCTTTAATTTTCGTCATACAAAAAATTTGAATATTTTCGAAAATGATAGTGGATGGTGGGGGTACACAATAAATAAATAATTAAAAAAAATTTTTTTATTATAGTTATAAAGTACTCTCACAACCATTCAATTTTGATTGTAAAAATTTTTGTCTATCTCTTATAGTTTCGAAGATATTCGCTTCGAAAGAAAAAAACCGATTTTTTTCAAGGGAGGATTTCACCCCCTTAACATGCGACTCCGCACGTATAAAAAAATACGTGTCTCTTATTTTTGTCTATAGAACAACATACTAGAAATTCATTTAAATCGGAGAGGTTCACTTGGTTGTGTTCTTTTGTTAGTAGGGCACAATTAGGGCAAATCTGAGTAGGGCATGCCTGAGTTTTCCCTTACCAGGCCCGAATCAGGAGTTCTTGAATAGGGCATACCGGAAAGCTCCCTGATCAGGGCCACATGATACATCAGGTTGACCGGATCCAATTTTCTACTCGGGTATAAACAGGTATGAATTAATCAATTTGATAAACATTTTTTTCCGAAAAACCAAAGAATAGGCACTTTTAGCGCCTTTTTTTCGTTTTTAAAACGGTAAGTTTTATACTGATATCATGTAGTGTTTAATATTTCCTTATAAATTCATTTTTTAATTTAGTAAAATTTTTTCTCGCATAATATATATTTGTAGCGCCTCCTTATCTTTTTTAAAAAGATACATTTGTATACTAATATTATGGCTTTTATAGTTTTTAACGTGTTTCTATATAAAGGATATATAAATTAATTACTTTAGTACATTTTTTACGAAGATTTTTTACTGTAACGTCAGAGCTGGAAAGTCACTCAATCGTTACTTACAACGAGTTGTGAACGGTCACTCGTTTCTGAAAAATAGTCACTCGTTATTTATAACGCACTTATACTTTTCACTCATTGCTTATGCGTTACCCATTACAAATAACTTCTTCAGAAAGTAAACGCGTAATAGTAAAGAGTTACTTTTCCAAGCTTAACACAAAATTAGTGTAGTCAGTTAACATTGCAATCATAAAAAACAACGTTGTTATCAAATATAAATGACCGAAACGATAAAATTTACGGCGTTATTTTATTTCCCAACCTTACATTTTTTACACAAACACATATATTTGTATAAAATGATCCTTTTCAGTTAGTTATTCAGATAATCCATAAAATAAAAACTATGGAGAAATTCTTAACTGTAGTAATTTTAACGTTGGGTAACCTGTTTTTCAGTGTTTTAAATATAACGAGTAAGTATTGACTAATAAAATAATTCGTGGAACATATGAAATTAAATTTAAGAAGTCATAAAACCGAATGTGTACTATGTGTACAGACATAAGTTACAGTTAAATTTATTCTTTTCGTTAACTTTTACTTTTATTCCTTTTTTCAATATGTAATTATTACTTGACATAGACCTGCGGCATATGATACTTGTTTTCTTGCAACATATCTTGTAACCTTCTCAAAGTTTAGCAGTTACCCATCACACATTAAAAAGTTATTAAAAATGAAATAGGAAATTCAACTCCGATGAGGCTGACCTTGACATATATTGTCAAGGTAATGATTCTGAGTAACCATCGAAGGGTTTTGGCAGTTGCTCGTTGGTTATTAAAAAGTTATTAAAATTAAAATGGACAATTTAACTCCGATGACCTTTATCCTCCTATACATTATCACAACGAATAATTTTCGGAAGATTGTAGCAGTTACCCATTACACGTTACAAAATTATTCAAAATAAAACAGGCAATTCAACTCCGATAATGTTGACATTAACATATATTTTCAAGGTTATAACCATCGAAGGATTTCGGTAGTCGCTCGTTGATTATTAAGAAGTTATTAAAATTTAAATGGCCAATTCACCTCCGATGATCTTGACCGTCACACATCTTATAAAGGTCATCACTCCGAATAACCTTCAGAAAGTTATAGGAGTCACTCATCACGCGTTACAAAGAGTTATTAAAAAATAAATTAAAATGACCTTGACTCATATTGTCAAGGTCATGACTCTGAGTGACCGTCGGACAGTTTCAGTAGGCGAACGTTGCTTATTAAGAAGATATTAGAATTAAAATGAACAATTCACCTCCGATGACCTTGACCTTTCTATACATTATGAAGGTCATCACACCGAATAACCTTCGGAAGGTTGTAGCAGTAACCCATCACACGCTACAAAGTTATAAAAAATAAAATGACCTTGACATATATTAACAAGGCCATGACCCTATGACCATCGGACAGTTTTAGCAGTCGATCGTTGTTCGTTGAAGAGTTATTAAAAAGTAAAGTAAAATGGTTGAGATTGCCATCTGTCGACTGAAGTTCGAGACGTAATTCATGGGCCAGGCAAACGACGACGACATTAATAGTAATAGTAATAATGACAATAATGTTTCTTAAAATTTGAACAAAAAAGGCACTGTCTCGCTCTAAAAACGCTACGCGTTTTCTTAGCTCCGAGACATTACCGTGTCTCTGGATGAACCCTGTTACATGCACAACCATTGCATATAAGTGGGTACTATAGTCCCTTATACATATTGTACATATTGTATTGCAAGTTGCGCATTGCATCGACCAATGGTCGATCCAATGGGCTGCGTTCCATTATTCATTTTAAGTACTATGAGTCTACAGTATACATCTCGTAAAGTATAGATTTCCAATGTTTGCTGTGTATAACGGAATACAGCCTTTATATGGGCTTCTTTTAGGTCGGAATGCGCAGACGCATGATTCACAATAATCATTGTCGCCCTAGACATTTTAATATCCCTAGAAGTAAGAGTCTGGCTATCTTCTAATTGGATTGAAAATGGCGTACGTGTATGTGCACATATACATACACGTGCACTTATGTGTGCAATGACACAACTGTATAAGGCGTTTTACGTATTTGCTTTTCAATTTTTTCACGCTCAGGCATTATCAGGTTGATTCCGCCATTTTTCATCTAATCAATCAGAAATAGGACAAGATTGATCAGACTTACTGCCAGGGACACTAGACATTTGACTATAAACAGCTCTGTGGTACTTTGCAATTGACATTGACAGCGTAGCTTTACGAGCTTTAATTTGTTCAAGGTCTAGAAAGTTTTCTCAAATTTCGGCGACATCGCCTCACGAACCAGGACCTAGACAATTTTCCAATATTGGGCCTACGCTGCATCGCGAACCAGGGCCTAGATAATTTTCCAAAAATGGGGCTAGTCATTATTATCGTTACCTCCCAATATAGCCCCAGGCTTTCCAACATAGCGCCTACATTAACTTGCGGAAAACTAGAGGCCCATATAGCGCCGGGTCGTAATTTCCACCCAGGTAATAGGTAATATTATTATTACGGTTAAAAGTTATAATTACAGTCATTGATTAATTTATTACCATAAATCCTGGCGGTTGAAAACCGATGCCTCCTTGTAAACAACATTGTGGTACTGTGCCATTAAATCCTCTGCTTTGGCCGGTTGCTGTTTACATGATATACTTAATTACATATTTGTATCTAGAAAAATGGCAAATTAACATGAAAAAGTAGGAATTTTCTATTACGCACCTGTTAAATCGTGATCTATAAACTGCCCCCACTGCATTAGCATATGAGTAACAGATGCTAGAGGTACGTCTTTGCTTTCATGGATTAAGCTTGTGATATCTCGTGCGCTTGGGAGTGGTCTTCCGTTCTTCGACCTTCTAATGCTTTGAACGCCATCGTGATATTCAGGTGGAAGAAATCTGGATAAATATCTATTTTAGGTGACACTTTACCGATTTCAATATCCTTTACATATGTTGTAGGGGAGAGTGTCCTGTGTAATTCCCCACAATAATTAAGTAGGAGATAGCAGCATTGGTTTAGAAGATATAATAAAGTTTCATAAAGTCATAGCATATACGACTTTCCATGTGAAGTGACTTTCTTTGGGAAGTCGGAGCGCACGACTTTCCAAAGAAATATGTTGAATCTCAGAAAACCGTGCGCCTCGAAGCAGGGCAGGAAAGTGGGGTGGAAGTTCTTCACGTAGAAGTCGTGCGCCCCTAAGCATGGGGGAGGTGAGGTGAAGGTATACTCTTATATGTACCAATATTATCCTCTACATATTATAGCACTTTAATTTACTATATCTCCTAAACCAATGCCGTCCTCCACTTAATTCTTTTGAGGAATCACGCAGGACACTTTCCCCTACAACATATCTAAAGGACATTGAATTCGGTGAGGTGCCACTTAAAATAGATATTTACCAAAATTTGAACGTGATGATAATTTTTTAACATAGTTAAAACGCTTTTTATTTTTATATTCAATATTTTGTATTTTTATTTTTATATTCAGAGATTGTTCACACATTGCTTGTATTTACCTCTGCATTGTAGACATAGCGGATCCCCACCAGAGATTCTGCAGATTGTTGCAGCTACCGTCAGACGTTCTGTATTTTAAGCTAGCCCGTGGACATTGGGGTGGATCTCTTTGTGGACATTGTTGTTCCAACGAGGTCCTTTTAGTTAGCTTATTTCGGATTAAGGGTAATTCCATTGGCGTATTTGGAAATCTGATTGGACGGAGTAGGAATAATCGTAAAGTTTCTTATTCCGACATTAGAAATTTACCATTACACTTATTAGAAACTTACTTCTTTAAAAACATAGAGGTACCTTGAAGGGCCGCATATCCGAATCTTGCAAGGTCTCTTGCTTCCTCCGATTGATCATTAAATGCTGCTACGTATCTCGCTGGATTGTCGCTCTCCAGATAAAGACCTGTATGTTGATTTCATATATGAAGACCTTTTTGTAGATACGCATTTAATTATAAAGATTAACCCGAAATGGTTTACGCTATGAATTAATGAATTTTCTTTAAGCGCTTACCCATTGAATATAATTTAGGTTCTTGGACATAATAAAGATCATGCATAGCTTGTAATCCAAACTTCGCGGCTTCTAGTAAACCGTTCTCCTCAGATTCCCATTTTTTTTCATCGGTGTGACTATCCAGAGTTTGATTATCGGCTTTCGATTCAACGTTCTGTGTTTCTGTATTGATCAGTCGAATCGAGATATTGTTCAACTTTTTAGAGTGTATTTTCATCACCAAAATGCCACTGACGTTAGAATATTCATTTGTTTGAACGCCATCATTTCGTTTTTGAAAAAACTTCACTTGTCGTGAGTTGTTATTTTTTGCGTTATTCAACGAGTTCGAAATTTCGACGCCCACATTATTCAGCAATCCGGTCAAAAATTCCTCTTTAAATCTATTTCCCATCTTTCTGATTTCTTCATCTTCTATTTCGCTTGTTGTCATTTCTGTTACTTTGGAGATTTCAGAAATATGCGATGCATTCAAAAATTTATGTCGGCTTCCATCTCCTGTCTGATTCGTCTCTTTCGCAGGAATGTACATGATTTTATAGGAATTTTTCGGCTGTAACACATCCGTTGCTACCTCTTGTGTCTCTCTCCTTAGCAATTCCGGTACGTATTTCAAATGTGCCGTTTCGCCAGAATACGGAGTATTTGCGTTGTTTTCTTGAATCTCCGACATTAAAGGGTGTTCATAGTCCAATGAAATGTTTACTCGCTTTCCCAGAGCGTCCTTTGATGTAAAAAACGATTGCTCATGTTTGCCGGAAATTCTTATCTCATGATTTGACGTTTGACTCTTAGCGTAATTTTCTGTTTTATCGTTCGCTTCTCTCGATTTCGATAATGCGCAGGAGAGGGAAGAAACGATTAGGCTACAATTAAAATAACAACTGTATATTATATGCATATACAATGTGAAATTTATAACGCATGCTTGTATTTCGTAAAGAGAATATTAAGTATAAAATTTATACTCTTGCTGATGTCTAATAATCTAATAAATAATAATTACAAATATTTTAAAAAGGCAGTTTAGTGGTAGTGCCTTTTTAATTTTTAAAGAGTTTTGCATGGTATTTCGATAGTAATCTAACTTTCACTGATGTGTGCGCGAGTTCTGATATCGATCGTGTTCAAAATGTAACATTCAAATAACTTTTATGTCACGTTTTACCTATTCATGACATTGAATTTATCGTGAACTAATCTACATGATCGAACATGAGTTTTTATTCAAACTCACGATAAAACGTACACGGGTACCGTTTATCTCAATAAGTGCTCTCCTCTTTTTGTATTCTCCTATATCGGAGTATTTAAGTAAATATTTGAAGACTTGTCATCACAAAATATAATTATATGAATTGAATTTTATAATATTATAACTTGTAGAAAGAGCTAAACCGTTACTTCTATTAAAATTAAAATTAAAGTTAAAATAGTAACTATTACTTCAAAATAATCATATTACAGTATTTCCTTGCTTTCAAATAGACAATTAATTAAACAGTTATTCCATTAAATGGTTACTAATAGTTCATCATAACAACATTATTAGAAATAATTTAACCAATCATCAGTTTAACTAATTAAGCGGTTATTTCGTGAATCATTATTCAATCGTGGAATATTAGTTGCATTCACTAAAAAAAATGTTTGCAATTATTAAAAGGTTATCGTCTGTGATTGGAGTATTCTTTTAGATTTTTGATAGCTCAGTATTAAATCAGTTAAATCCAAAAGGATTTATCAATTAGGAACAATAATTCTTAAACGCTTAATAACACTGTAAAACAAAATTTGATCTTTTTGCCACACAAGTGTGAATAATTTTTGACATACTTTTGCATGTTGAATACAATTCTGTGAACAAAAACCCATATATTGAACAACACACTAATATTGAATTAATGTGTCAGAATTTGAATTGCCACATCGCGAAATGTAAATTCAATGTTAAAGAGACGTTGCAGAAATGTTTAATGTCCGTTGAATTGTAACGTCTGTGATACATAAAAAAATTTTTCGCTTATTAATTCAGTTTTATTATTAAAATAAGTATTATTGATTAATAGCATATTCCAGAACACAACGACAAAATTATAACTAAAAAAACAGTACGGGGGACCCTCGCTGCAATCAGACGATCGCTACACACGCATGAGCATGCGTATACGACGGCATTCTCTCACACTCTCGCACACACACACGCGCGCGCGCGCACACATACACGCAATTACACTTGTAAACAGTCGATGAGTTCATTTGCAGCTTGAGAAAAAAGAAGAACTTCCATTTTGATGGATCGTTCCAAACAAATGTTTATTAAATTTTTATTCCTCTTAGAAATTTAATTTAGATTCCACACGTACCCACTGACATAGAGTGCATTCAGATCGAGTTAATACTTCGTTTCTTATAAAACATTCACGCTCAATTGGCATACAAATTATTCATTCACTTGAAGAAAATTACTAATGACGAAAAATTTACGACCAGGTATGTAAATATGAAACCGGAATTTACCAATAGATGGCCATAGCTGTCAATGTAGTTGCCGATGGGCAATACTTCGAATAAAATATTTTTTATCATTTTCATGCAATAAACGTATATTTTCTATTAAAAAATTACGGTTTCATATTTACATACCTAGTAATGTGTTTCTATCACCTAAGAGTCCGTTTTACTATCGATGGTTCATAATTATTAATCATTGTCAATTACTCATTCGATAACCGAAAATCACTCGAAGAAAGAAAAACCACACGATGCGTTTGCTCGACGATAGCAGGCAGTCGATTGATTTTAATACCGAATCTATTATTTAATTATTATTAATTACTGTCGATTAATTATTTGTCGACTGAAAATCACTCGAAAAAGAAGCACACGATTGTTGACTAACGCACGACGCGTTTACTTAATGATAACAAGCAATCGATCGATTTTATTAGCTATATTTATACTATAAGCGCTGTCAAAACTTGTGATTACGGTCGCGTTCAGCAAACTCAATTATTGCGGAGCGGATCCGGGAGCGCTTGCTACTAAAAGTGCGTGCATGCGTGTGTATGTGTGTGTGTTGTGAGAGAGAAAGAGAGAGAGAAAATGCGATCGTATGTGCATGCTCACGCGAGTGTAGCGATCGTCTGATCGCAGCGAGGGGTCCCCAATACCGTTTACGTCAAACAGTGAGTTACGCCTCTCCTGTCTATCTGGAGGCACTGGCAGTATCTCGACGATAAGGTAGGCGCAGCGACACTACCATGGCTACTTTACGCGAGCCAGCGAGTTGCCAGGGATTGAGATTATTGGATTTCAATAGAGGCTGAACTGATCAGGTTCTACTACATGGGCTGAAAAGTGCCGGGATTTTTAATGAAAACAAGCGTTTTTTGGGTAAAGTTATATTTATTTCTCAACATAGTTGTCTTCGAGGGCGATACACTTGGTATAGCGATTTTCCAACATTTCGATGCCCTTTCTGTGGTACGAAACGTCCAAGCCTTCGAAATACGCCTGGATTTCCGCGATAACTTCCTCATTCGATCTGAATCTCTTTCCCCGGAGCCACCGCTTGAGGTTTGGGAACAGATAATAGTCGCTGGGGGCCAAGTCTGGAGAATACGGTGGGTGAGCAACCAATTTGAATCGTAATTGGTCCAATTTGGCCATCGCTTTCAAGGACGTGTGTGACGGTGCGTTATCGTGATGGTACAGAACTTTTTTCTTCGCCATATGGGGCCGTTTTTTCTTTATTTCGTCGTTCAGTTTGTCCAATAAAGCTGCATAATACTCTCCCGTAACTGTTCTTCCCTTCTGCAGGTAATGGATGAAGAGTATGCCATGCGCATCCCAAAAAACGGAGGCCATAACCTTCCCGGCCGAGCGTTGGTCTTTTGGCCGCTTTGGTCGGCTTTCGTGGCTTTCCAGCTACTCTGCAGACTGCCTATTGGACTCAGGCGTATGGTAATGGACCCACGTTTCATCCATCGTCACAAAACGTCGAAAAAAGTCAGCTCGATTACGTTGCACCAACGCCAAACCGACCGTTGAATCATCAACGCGCTGCTGTTTTGGTCGACGGTCAGCAAACGCGGCACCCATCGCGCCGATAGCTTTCTCATCTCCAAAAGATCGTGCAAAATGTATCACGCCCGTTCTTTTGAGATGCCCACGGCATCTAACTCGCGCAACTTCACTTTACGATCACTCAAAACGATTCGATGCACTTGCTTTACGATTTCCGCATTCGTAGCCTCTTTTGGCCTTCCAAAGCGAGGTGAGTCTTCGGTGCTTGTACGACTCATTTTAAATTCACTAAATCACCGATAAACTGTTGTTCTCGAAGGAACAGATGTAGGATAACATTTCTGCAACCATTGCAATGATTGTTCAGAAGTTTTTCCCATTAAAAAGCAATGTTTGATCAAGATGCGATATTCCTGTTTTTCCATTTTTTTACGAAGGCGAAAGTAGCGTCACTGAAACGACTGTAGCTTGTAAACGAATGGACGAAATGTCATTCAAATGACATGAAACTTCATAAACTAGTGACAGATGAGCCTCTCGAAATGAGTCATGTTCATTTTCTAGTGCGCCACCTATTGAAAAATCAAGGGACTTTTCAGCCCATGTAGTAAGTGTGCTCAATCGATTGCATCCGCTCAAAATATATAATGAAAGTGTCATTTTTTCTCTACGTGTCCTACGAGCGGAGATATTGCGATGCAAAATCTGAAATCTTTGATTTTATTAACGACGTCGACCAGAGGAAAAATGTACAGTTGCATCATCTGGCACTAGATGGCGATAGAAACGTTCGGATACCTGCATGTTCCAGTTATGACGTTTGGAGACTCCCGGCGGTGTACAGGGCGCAGGACGCTTGCTAGGCAGACCCCACTTCCCGCGCACCAAACTATCGATGGTGGATATTCAGCAATTTAGAAATTAATATTTTGATTGCGAAAATTGGGAAAAAGACGAGAATTTTTCGGAAAGTATGGTAGGAAATGATAATAATAAAGCGATTATTCGTTGTTGAACGCTATTTATTTATAACTTAATACATAACAAAAGGCAATCGGATGTAAACGAAATTATAGAGGAAGGTCACCAATACCGACATACTACTTTGTTTTTAGACAATATTTCTTAAACAAAAGATAAAAATACAACTTCAAAAACATAAATACAAAGTAAAAAGTGTCTTCTATCAGATAGTATAAGTAATTTGTATAATACTGTCAGCAATTTTGCAATAATTAAGTTTTTCGTAAGTTATGCAAAAATGAGCGTCTGACAAAATGGGCTCCAAACTGACACAGTAGGCAGTAATGCTACGTATTCTTATTCTTTTTCTTTTACAGGAATTATCTGTATAAAATACCTATAAGTGAATGTATGTAAGATTTTTCAGAATCATTTTACTTCGTTATAAAACACATTTTTAGGGGAGACCGGGTCTCGTTGGCACAAGAGGTAAGTTGGCATTGCGTTCCGTTTATATATTTGTGGCGAAAGAAACAATGGAAGAGTTACTGCAAAATATCTTTCATAACATAGATACTTTTCCTTAAGTTTCATTTAAATCAAATAAGTATAATATTATAATAAAAAAAGAGAAAATCTAATTCACGGGGAATCAAGTAGATTTTCGAGCTTTTCAACATTTCGTATTACTGTTTCTCAGCTTGAGAAAAAATCTAAATGACGTATTATTAGTTAAAAGAAAAGTTTTCGTTACTATATGACATGTTATTTTAAGTAATAACAGTAATTTGTTATAATAAAATCATTAAAATCAAATGTATGTAGAGATGGGG